CTTGGGGGGCAACTCAGGATGCTTTTGCTGGTACGCTTTCAGACGCTCTGTGGCCAGCTTATGTTCCACATTTAAGCAGATTTTGGAAATCTCCGAAAGCGACTGGATGAGATTTGTTGTCGTCTCGTTTGATAGCTGAGTTACCTTATTTTCGATCGTCGCGGAAAAGGCGCCCGAAGCTAGGTTGTACAGCAGGTGACCGTCTGCCACTCTGACTTTCGCCATCTCTAGGCTTCGAGGCGAAGCTTCTGGGTGGATACCCTGAACAACCTTTTGAAGGATATGAGCTGCAACGTTGCATATCGGTGCGAGTACGTCCATCAAATGTTGATATCTCGACGCATTGCTCAGGTGCATCTGAGCTAGCTTGATCAGTCCTTTGATACCACCAATTCCTGCCTGGAAAGTACTCAGCATATCGGTGCTGAGCAGCTCTTCGTCAGGTATTTGTCCATTCTGAGCCCGACTACTTTCTCTCTTGGCGAAAGACGTCAAGGGTTGCAAAAAGCGAAATAGAAGAAAATCTGGTTGACGCCGCTCGTCGCCTGGAGACGTCTGGAAAGCCTGGGCTGTGATGAAATCGAATTCGACAAAATGGGCGGTCATCCTGGCATAGGCGTGAAAGAACTGGCCAATGGTTTGCCGGGTTTCCAGTGGAATCGGATGTCTGAAGAAAATGTGTGAGCAAGTGATCATTTCAAACAAAAGAGCGTAGTACTAACTTTCTGGTTGCCAACGCCCAGGCGATTTCGGGAAACATGTGCCAAAAGGTGTGATAAGCCACTTGAGACTCGTAGGCGATTCTACCACCAACTACGCCAACGTATTTAACGTATGAGACCATCCAGGCATACAGAGACTCTAGCACAGCTTCTTCCGGGGGTGCTTCTGCAACTCAGTTAGAACGGCACGTGCTTTTTTGAGCTGCAGAACACTTACGCGAACCAAGGTACTGAACTAGCTTCGAGACAGTATCAGGAAGTGACTCGTGGGCCTCATGGTACGGGAAGTCGGGGGTCGGGTCGAAGGACGCAGCATCCTCACGAATGATGCTGACATCTTCGTCGTACGGAGCATCCTGATCATCGTCGGTTATTGCAACCACCTCGACCTCGGGGCTCTGTGGGCTTGACGATGAAGAAGGTGGGGTATCTGTGATCTCGATAGGAGCTTGCGCCATGTCGACTTCATCCAAGCCCTCAACGCTCTTCTTCACACCTTCTGAAGCTTCAGTCGGCTGGTCTGGTAGGGTCCGGGGTGTCGGCGAGACAGGAGAGGAGGAGACAGGGTCGGGCTGAGTGGTATTACGTAGGTTTATCGTGACCCGGCTAGAGGAAGGTTCGGTCGGAGGTTCTCGAGCTGTCGACTGCCGCTCCGGTGTTTGCGGGGTAGAGGGATGTGTGTCTATCTTCATGGCGGAGTCTTGTGTGGCGGCTTCGTCGGGATGGTTTGCAGCTGGTGAGCTCGAGGTACCGGTGCTCAGTTTTGTGCTGTCGACGGAGAGGCTCCGGGAGCCACCAGACATGGACGTTCGGCGTCGTTTCCTAGAAGAATCGTCGCCGTCGGTGAAGGGGTTCGGTCTCGTTGAGCTAGGCTCTGAAGAGACCGCGCGATCTGGTGCTTCCGAGGATCCTGTTGGTAGGTCCATCTGGTTGGTGCAATGAAGTATTGCAGCGCGGGTCCTGGAGCTCCAGAGACGTCACTCGGGCGCGAGAGACGACTCGGTAGCAGCTGATCAAAATTAGCATGTGGGTTCTTTTGCCGGCTGGTAGTGATGATTGGGACCGCGATTGAGGTATGTTGGCGCAGTGATGATGGGGGGGGGTTTCTTCTTGGAGGAGTGGATAAAAGATGGGCAATCAGGCTGCAGCAGCTTGATCCCTCAAGGTGAAATGGAGAGAGGTAAGGTGGAAAAAGTCTGGGAGGTCGGCGCTAAGATGTCAAGGTGAGGGTGACAGTGACGATAGCAACGTGCAGGCTGAGGTCTAACGCAGCAGGAACGTCAAATGGAAAGCACACGGCGTGTCCAGGGTGGGCTTTTTTGGGGAGAGAGCAGGGGTTGCACATCGGTCCTTTCGGGTGCTTAAAAAGAGACGCGGTGCAGGCGTGGCGGACGTGAATCCACTAGAGCTCAGAGCTTTGGAGGGGGAGGGGGGGGAACTCGTCTGTTTTGGAGACGAGTGGATTGGGGGGGAAGAGAGATGAGGTAATGACGGGAGAAAGAAGGCAGAGAGGTAGGTACCTGTTTGGGTGCTTGATTTGTATGAGCAAGGCAGGTTACTTTTGTTGGTGGTCGTCGTCGTCGTGGTTGTCCGTGGGTGGTGGGAGTGTTGGTAGTGACAGTTCCCGTCGGCGAGAAGCTTTGAGCTTCCAGTATACCTATCTTAAGTCGCTTTCCTAGATAAGGTACCTAGCAAGATGTGCATCTACGGTGACTTGACCATGTACCTCAAGGAACCGGGCTAAAGGTGCCAGGGCGATGGGTAATGTAGGTGAAAGATGCCCGTGGGTGAAAAGAGCTGGGTTGGCTCTAGGTAAGGTATGAGGGAGTCTGAAGAGAGGTGTTAGATGAAGATTGGTGGATGTCTGTCTGTCTGCCTTTACAGAATTTTTCTCCTTACGTGACAGACCAAAAGCATACCTACCTCTCTCTGGGTTTCTCTGGCTTACCTAGGACAGCACCCGCCGGTCAGAATGGTTGAAGATGAGGTGCTGGCAGAAGCTTTTGGACGATAAGGTCCTCGAGATGATAGGTGCGGGGTGGGGTGCTGGTGCAATGTGATGTCTTTGGTGTGGCTCAAGCTCAAGGAGCATCCGGATAGGTAGGTACGGTACGGTAGTCAAGGTACCGAGGTACCTGAGGCACCAGAGGCGAAAGTGAAAATGGTAGTGGAGACGACCAGAAGTGACGGGATCTTCCAGAAGTGAGGTACTGGGTACCTTGCAAGTTATACGTCAACCTCTCGCGACACAAGGTGACGGCGACATGAAGCAGCCTTTTTACCATCACCTTGTCTTGAATTAAAATATTTCAGCTGTCAAAGCCGTCCCTTCTTTTTCTTCAAAGAGCATTAACATGCTTGAGGTACTCTCACCAGACGAGGAGCGGCCAGCTTTGCTTAGGTAATGGGACGATGCAACAATTGGTCCACAGTTTGTGGCTGATTGGCGCGAGCTGCCTTGCTTCAACTTGCAGATTATTGTCCGTACCTAAGGTACCTGACTCAAGGTACACAAATACCAGACAGGACAAGAATGAGATGCTAGTAATAAGCAGCTGTCAATTGTTTGAGAGACTTCCTTCCTCGTCTCTTCCTAAAGGTAGGGAGGGGGCTCAATCTTTCATTCACGAAATGCATCCAGCTTAAGGAAGGAATGGCCATGCTCGCAACGCAAGACAAAAAAGACGAGGCATTGTTATTGATCAATGCATCCAGGTACCTGGCCCGGTGGAAAGGACGTTGACAGTGGGGCATCTTGCCAAGGAAATACCAGCGTCCAAACGCGACTTTCAGGTGATTGTGCTCGTATCACCAACTTGGGCCTGAGCCCTGGAACTGCACCAAAGGATTGGCCGAGGATTGTCATCATCACTCTCTAGCATCAACTGATCAAAGTTAGCAAATCCATCTTACTTGACATTATCAAGTTACCCAGACGAAGTCTCGGGCCGCAGCGTCTTGAGTACCGACGTCGCTAGAAGAGCACGAGGCAGAGGTTCCTGATTCTCGACAGAGAGTAAGGTACTTCTTTGGGTGAGAGGTGACCCTGGATGGGCAGCTTGGTTCACGGGCTGCTCATAAGGTAGCAGGCAGCAACCCAAAGCTATGCTCCTCCAGGTTCTAATCTAATCCCACCCATGCGGGTATCTCTACGACATCAGCCGGGTTCCCAGCTTGCTATTACCTTACTTCGGCGACCTTGGGTGCTCCCGTCCCATGGCAGGCAGCGTAACCCTCCGACCCGGCCCGGAGCGATGCCAGATTCGAGTCGTCTGGTATGCTCTCTCTTGCAGTCCAGTCTCATATTGGAATCGGCCAGATGACACATGGAAAACTTCCGTCACTTTGGTCACAATTCAACGTAGCATTCGGCCTCTCGGCGACCCTTGCGCGTCCCGGCTCGCAGCTGTCTGTCCGTGCTCCCCGAGGGGTTTGGAGCTCATGCGGGGCCGGTACCTAGCCTCCTAGCGGCCCATGTCCATGTAAACTCGCCTCAACGACCCCAACGTCGACGTTCAGCCGACTGCCGCATAGACATCATTGGGACCAGGTGCCTCAGAGAGCTCAAAGAGGGTATTCGAAGGCCCCGAGTCAAGAACCGACCTCTATCACCACTTGCCAGCCGTCCACCAAGCTACTGACCCGATTCATCATCACCCTCCAACTTCAAAGTTGAAGCTTTCGATGCCCGTTCATCTGTTTCCTAGTCTGATAATCCATCATGTGGCGCTAGTGCCACCTCGCTTATCTGTCTATCGGCCGCTAAGGCCAATTAGTCCCACTGCTGTTTCCGACTGACGAGTTTTATTTTTGTCTTTATTTCTTTTCTTTGGGCAACGACTCACAAGTGCTGGCATCGATCCTTGCGGCTGTGTATCTTGGTCCCCAGCTGCCAAGTACGTGCTGCTATCATTACTGTGACTGAGGCTGTAATGCCAAGTTTCTCTCGATTATCCGCTGTCTTCCATAAGCATCGACCAGGCCTTACGGGCTAATACACATTCAAGATTTGAGCTTCTCGAGCACCAGCCACCCAACTCCAACTTCCAAGTCTTAGTTTGCGACCCCCTGAACTACTTCCAGTGGACCATCAAATCCAACGTCTCTCAATTGCAACCGAGATTCTTCCCTAGCCGCCATCAATCATCTCCATTCGCCTCCTTCGTCTGGCAACTCACCTTCTGGAGCACGGTTCTTAGGTCGCTATTGGCTCGAGTCCTTGACTTACATTTCAGAAGATCAACAGTGACGTTTAGTCACGCCACACAAGACACAGAAATGGCAAACCAACTGCGGAAGAAGTTGGTGTATTCGGTTGACACGCCATTCTCAACAGTACAATGGTTGGATAGCCTTTGGCGGATCTGTTCAAGTACTCGCATTGCTCACATATCATAGGCCTGAAGTCATCTTTGAAGATCAAGATGCCATTTTGGAACTACTCTGCAGGTATATCTTACGTTCCCAAGCCAGTTAATGCTCGATCTACCAGCACGCGTCTACGATGGAATCAAAACTAACCAGATATGCAGTCTATTGATGCCCCTGGGCCAACATCGCCAAAGGCACATCCAACCTTCAGAAGGTAAACGGGCCGCCAAACGGAAGAGAAAGGAAGAGGGAGCTGCCGGCAAGGAACCTGAGAAAGCCGAACGCCCACCACTGCCAGAAATCGCCTCTTTCGTCGACGTTGGGCTGGCAAGTATCACTCGCAACCTCGAAAGACTCGCATCGACACAGCAAGGCTCAGAAAAAGACACCAAAGGATCCAACGCTGCGGCAGTTCCCCCTGCTCCATACGCCCTCATTTTCGTGGCCCGCTCCGGCCAGTCATCGGCCTTCAATTGTCAACTCCCCCAGATGGTCGCCGTTGCTTCTAATGCCACTGCACCTGCGCCCGCGACAAGACTGGTCGGATACTCCAAGCCATGTGCCGAGAAACTCAGCGCTGCGGTCGGTATCCCGAGGGTCTCATCGATTGGGATCCGGGTCGGCGCTCCGATGTCGAAGGCGCTGGTCGACTACGTCCAGAAGCACGTCTCGCCTGTCAGCGTCGCTTGGTTGGACGAGGCAAAAGATGCTGTCTACCGTTCTACACAGCTGAAGGTGGAAGAAAAGATGTTACCGGCCAAGAAGAGCGGCAAGGCGTGAGATGTCGGAAACGCCGATTTTCAACTCGACTTGAGAGCATTCTTGCAGAGAAATAGAGATGGAGATGAGATACCCCCAACCTGCCTACCAACGCAAGTCGACCTGACGATGTGAATTCCGAGACGTTTCCATATTTTGCCACACTGACTTGGCTTTTACTTGAAGGTATGCATACACTGGATATTCTGACTAAAAGGGGGGACCGTCTGTCAGTTTATGTGCTTCCCCCACTACACCCATGGCACTGAACAGGAAGGGCAACCCTCACAACCTGGAATGTGAGAGAAGACTGTCTTGTACAGGTACTTCAGAATTGAAATGGCCTTCCTGCTCAATGCCTTGACCAGATGAATTCTTCTTCTTCTTCAACATGAACCTCAGCTGACGAGTGCCAGGTAAGGCGGATATCCAACAAAGAGCTTCAAGGTTTCTCTCTTTTCATTGTTTCTCCCGCAGCCATGTTCTTGACCTTCACGCATGGTAGCTAGCCAAGCCTCCATGCGTGAATCAACAGCCTCATGACAGAGGGGAAGTAGCATCCTTCAAAGTCATCTCGTGATGATTCTTCCATCGTCCCAACTACTCCCTCCGTCTCATGTACCTGCAGTCCCTACCTACCGTCCTAAATACTCATTCCATCCCAATGTCTTTTGCCGTCCCATTTTCCTCTTTACCTCGAGCCGGGGTGAATCCATTTTGTTTACTCTCCTTTTTTCTTCAGTGTCATAAGTCTCCAGAGCATCCCACCTGTGCTTGCCTTTTGACTCCTTGATTTTCTCCCAAGCTCCTACCTTCCTCGAAGACCACCTGCTTCAGCAACCCTACGCTCCCATTTTTTCCAGGGCGGAAAGATACGCTTTCCTTCCTTCGTCAACCACTGGGTCAAATTCTTTCTCTACATCTCATGACGAGACAGTCTGGTGTCTTCCCACTTGACTGACCCTGCCCACTCAGCGCTCACGCCAATTTTACCTATCCAAGTTCCTATCCAGTCCATCTCGGTTTCCCACCTTGGGCGCCGTCTCCAGCCAACATCTACGTTGACGCTGCAGGTAGCAGAACACTGACGGACAAGCTTTCTCCTTCCAGCAATTGAGAAAGGCAGTCTACATAAGTAAGGTCAGTACTACACATTCTCTTCCTTGCTCCTTGCAGAGATTTATCTACTGGATTGGGGCATTTCTCTCTGAAGGCATCGTCCCAAAGATGATGAGCTTGGATTTTCTAGCGCCTCTGCTTTTCTGTCGATCTCTATGCCTTGCCCGTTTATGAGACAGGATGCCAAAGCCTCAACTTCGACGCTTTCCACATCTTCCACATTTTTGGAATGCTTCTGCACAATTGGCCGACAGATATTTCAGGCTATGACCAGTTACAAGGAAAAGTTCGATATTAATCAAATCACTAGACATTTATCAGACAAGGTTCCGGAATATCAACCTCGCAAGTCTAGAGAGAGCGTGCCGCCAAGATGTTTGCCAACATGGACCCCAAGAAGCAGGCTGAACAGATGGCAGCAGCAAGACTTCTTGCCTCGGAGTTCAGTAAAGCCAAGGGAAGCGGTGGTGGTGGCCGCGGCCGCGGAGGCATGAACAATGGCGGCAGTAGCAGCCGGCCGGGCGGCGTCGGAAGAGCAGCCATATCTACTCGTTATGATGCTCATCCGGTTCAAATGAGTAAGTTGACTTCTCGAGAGTCTATCGTGCAATTTGCTAATCCTCGCAGACCGTCCTACGCCCGCCTCCTCGCGTTCTATCTTCACGCAGGCTGAGGTGAACCGAGCCAGAGTCCCACCTTCCGCCGTCACTCGCGTGGATCCCGCTCTCGCGGGTTGGTTGACAGGCTCGAACACTCCTCAGGCTAGCCCCGCGACGCCTGCGACGCCTGCGACGCCCGCTGCGCCCACGATGCCCACGATGTCAAAGACGCCTGCGATGCCCGCGAACACGATTCCTGCTCACTCTGACGCTCCGAAAGGAATCGATAAGGGTCTCGCCAGCTGGCTCACGCCCGCGCCTAGCCTGGTTGCCGCCTCCCCCAAGGAGACTTCGACCAGCCGTCCCTCTTCAAGCGTACTTCTCACCAAGACTGATGGTCCCGAGACATCAGGAGACGCCGCTGTCGGCAATGTCAAAGCCATCTCTCAGTCCATCGCTCTGCCGCCTTCTCTAAAGAAAGATGCTGGTGCTCCTCCTGAGACGACCGTCCATTCGAAGCCCAGTGGCTTGGGAAAGAGCCTGCGGGTCGCTCACGAGGCAAAGGTCATCAAGGAGCAGAACAATTCCAACTTGAATGCCCGAGCTTCCGCTCTTCTTGCCGAAGACATTGGGTCGGCCACACAGTCGCAGTCTAACTACAATGGACAGGCTTCTCGTCTTCTTGAGAGAGTTGACAACGAGCAAGATGCTGAAATCTCCGCCGCGAAGACTGAGGCCTCTGCTGTTGAACCAGAGCCAAAGTTTGGCACTGTCGAATGGGCTCTGGCGCAACTTAACCGCGGTCTGGAGCTTCCTGGATTCGATGCCTTCCACGCTCAGAAGGCTCAGGAATCCAGAAACAAGCCCGGCGTTGTGTCCATCACCGATGCTCACTCTGGAAGTATTAACAACACTGAATCCGTCATTCAGAGACAGGAGACTACCAACGAGGAGAAGGCGGCGGAGCCGCTGACTGAGGGATCCGACTGCAAATGCCCGAAGAGAAGCCACCCTATTATTGGCTTGGCGGCTTCTTGCTACAACACGGATTCTGACGGCGACCATGACCTCGTTCGCATGCAAGCTGCATCGGATGCAGTGAAGAACAAATTCGCCGTCAACGTTGTCCTCCACGAGCACTCGAACCCGGACTGCCCCAAGCTGCTTCGGGCAGCTGCCAAATTCCCCCTTCACTTCGGCGCCAGCCCTGCCGTTGTGGATGGCCCCGACGATCATCTCCAGGTCATCCGATGGAAAGATTCGAACGGCTTATCCGGTCCCTCGATCAGCGTGCCTGTTCGGAAGATCAACTCGTCTGGTCCTCAGAACAACTTGGCTGGCCCTTCGCACAACTCGTCCGGTCCTCCTCTGGCTGGTGCTCCAGTCCCACAGCCGACTATCCGCCGCAGAGGCATCAACGACTCGATGTGGGCCTAAGTCGTTCTCGAGATGAATTCATTACCGTCACCGAGTCTAGAATGCTTGAATTATCGCGCCTATACGATTGGGCAATGACTTGAAAACTTTGGAGGGGTCACTGCGCTGACACGAACCGGACTCGATAAGGATAGGCGAACTTCCGCAGCCATATCCTCAGATTGTTGAAGTTATGACAACATATCTGATTTCTTTCAGCACTCTTTAATGTTGCCCTATACTGGCAAAACCTTGAGTAGCTACGGACAAGGGGTAACGAGGATGCCACTCAGCATCGGCGTCAGGAAATGGCGGGGATTCGACGAGACAGAGAGGGTTGACATGATGAAGAATGGTTGACTTTGATATTGGCTTTGGGGGTCTCTCGACTTGGGGAGGCGGAACGAGATATCTCGTACAGAAGCACTGTCATGCTTTTGGAGGTATTAGGTTGTCCGCTGCCCAGGTCACTTTGCTCAGGAACGATACCTCACAGGCAGTTTAGGTAGAAAGTCAATCCACAGTTTCTCAAAACTCTATAAATGCCAGGGCTCGATACAACATGGGACATATCAGCACTGCTAAAGTAGGTATCATGATCAATCTGAAGATGGCTTCTTTGGTCATGGGCAGTGTATGTAATATGTACGTGGTCTCTAAATGCCAAAGCCCGCAACACCCAAAAAAAAAAAAAAAAAAGGGCAACCCCCCTTTTCACTTTTTCCCATTTCTTCCCAACTCCTTTTAAAATTTGTTCGACTCAACTGCCCCTCATTCTCATCATCATGCGCTATTAATCTCCTTCTCTAATAACTTGACACCCTCCCTAACCTTGGGCGAAAAGTGCCTCCGTAGCAGCTCGCCCTCCCACACCGTCGTGGCAAACGGGTTGCTGCCCTCGACGCTGTCGCTGAGGGCATTGTAGTTGCCGTCGCCCTTGCGCTCCTCGGTGCACCACAGCGCGGCAATCTTCTTGCCGTGGGTGTGTCCGACGTCCTGCATGAGCGCCAGCGCCGCCTGCGCCGACTTGTCGGGCATGTGCAGCGCCGCGGACATGATTTGCTTGCTAAACGCCGCGAGGCGCAGGGGCGGGACGGAGCGGATCTGGTAGGCGGGCAGGAGGACGGCCGTGAGGCAGCGCAGGAGGAGGACGGTGGTGGTCTGCAGGTTGACGCGGTTGTCGCGCGTGGCGGCGGCCTGGGCGGGGCGGATGTGGAGGGATTTGGAGGTGAGTTCGAGGTCCGGGTTGAGGGAGAGGGAGGGGAGGGAGGTGAAGAGGTGGGTTACGAAGTGGGAGAGGTCGAGGTGCAGTGCGGAGCGGGAGTTGTGTGCGTCTTGGCCTGCGAGGAGGGCGAAGGCTGTGACTGTGCAGAGGAGGGCTTCGCGGCTCGTGTTGCGGGATGCGCCGCCGAGGTCGTCGTCATCGTCGCCTTCTTCGTCTTGGTTCTCTTCGTCGTCGTCGTCGTCATCGCGGTTGTTGCCTTCCGCGTCCTCTTGGGCGTGGCGGATGAGATCTTTGAGAGCTTCGAGAAGATCGCCAAAGAAGTCCTGGTTGATGAGGTGGGCGTACTTGGCCAGGCCCTCGAGCACGGCGCCCATGAGCCACGGCACGCGCATCTTGAGAATGCGGAAGTAGGAGACGAAGACAAGCTTCAGCGTCTCGGACTGCATGCGCTCGCGCTCCTCGTGGCTGACGAGGGCGTCGGCCTGTTCCATGTCCTTCTGGATGGCCCTCTGCTCCTTGAGCATCTTACGCTCCTTCTTGGTGCGGAACTCCTTTTTGAAGTTCTTGCGCGACTGCGGTGGCGGGGCACTCGGGTCGCGCTCGCGGTCGACGCGGTCCTGCGAGGCTTTACCCGCGAACTCGGAGAGCAGGCGCAGGTGGAGGAAGAGGTTCAGCACGGTCTCGTCGACGGCAAAGTTGCGAGCCTTCATCATCTTGGTGAGCAGGGAAGCGGCCTCCATGGAAGGGCGGCCCTCCTCGTCGTCGACAAAGAGCGTCTCGAGCGCGCGGCGGCACTTGTGGAAGTCGGCGTCGATCTTGCGCTTGGAGAGCTTGCTGACGAGGATCTTGAGGAGGTCGTTGCGGAAGTTGAAGTGCGGGACGGCGTTGACGAGCGTGCAGGCGCACGAGATGGCGACGCTCGAGATGCTCTGCCCTGTTTTCCGCGTGGTCGGTATGTCGGCCTTTGCCCACTTCGCGAGCTCCTTCACGTAGCCTTGGTACCCGGAGACGAGGGCCTGCTCAAAGGCGCGCAGCTTCCGGACCTCCTTGGAGAGCTTCTCTACGGGGGCGTCTTCGGCGACGGGCCGGATGCGGTAGCCCGGGATAACGTCCTTGTAGACGGCGAGCTGGGTGGCCAGCGTGAGCTTCTGGATGGCCGGGATCCGCGACTGGCCAATCTTCGCAATGGCCTTGAAGGCCGCGACGTTCTCCTCCGGGTCCTCGTTCAGTGCCATTGCGATCTTGGCGAGCTCTTCCTTGGCCTGGTGGATTTGGACGGGCTCAGGCAGGTCCGACTCCTCCTCTTCTTTCCTGCGATCCTGACGCAGCCTTTCGGCGCCCGCCTCGGCGGTGGCCTCCTCGTCCTCGCGGCCCTCGAGCCACTCGCCGTCGCTCCCAACAACCGAGTCGGCATCGTCGTTGTTGTCGTCGCCTTGTAGAGACCGGTACTGCTCGAGGCGGCCGTCGGCCGTCTTGATGGGCAGGCGGGTGCTCTCCTTCTTATCCTTCTTTCCCTTTCGCGGGCGGTTCTCGTAGTCCTGCTCCAGGTTCCAGCTGGCGGCGTTCTTGAAGAAAGACTTTTGGATCTTCTTGGATGACTTGCTGGTGTGGTCATTCTCGTCTTCGGGCGGCGGCGTGAGCCTACGACGTTTTGAAGCTCTGGAGGACATTGTGGATGATGGTTTGTCTGAAAGGCCAATCGGCAGGGAGAGGAACCTCGAAGAAAGTTTGGGCGGTGGTGTCCGGCTTCGTTGGTCTTCAAGATGTTCTCGTCCTCGCTGAATGGAAGATTTCTCGATGCACGGTGGGATTGAATGGGGGACCCTAGGACCGCCAACAGCGGGAAGAGGGACCATCGAGAACTTTTTAGTGGAGGTTTTGGCCATTGGACCAATGGAAACCCCGGAACACCCTCAGACCGCCCGAAATTTTTTGGGTTTCTGCCGCTACTCCAACCTTTTTCGCATCGCGATGCACCTGGCATCCCACCTTTCGGTAACGGCACATTCGACTGTGAAAGTTCTCGTCCAAGAAAGCTCGCCGAGTCCTCAACACAAGTCCGCAGACACCGAACCGAACACATTCGAAGTCAAACAATACCACAGATCCCAAGATGCGTCCCCTCACAGAAAAAGAGACCGAGACCCTCTTCAACAAGCTGGCCAGCTACATGGGAAGCTCGCTGAAGAACCTCATCGCCCCGCTCGACAACGGCCCCGAGCCCGATCGTTACGTCTTTCGCATGATCCGCGACCGTGTCTACTACGTGCGCCTCTCCGTTGCGAACCTGGCGACCAGCATCGCTCGCGATAAGCTCCTCAGCATCGGCATCTGCCTCGGTATGTTCCTCGCGCGCAAAGCCAACCCAACCTCTCATCAACTCTCTGCGTACACATGGACTAATGACCACTCCCTGTTGCGCAATATAGGAAAGTTCACAAAGACTGGCAAGTTCCGCCTGCACATCACCGCCCTCCCGGTCCTCGGCGAGCACGCAAGATACAAGATTTGGGTCAAGGTATGTCATATTCGTTCTCGAGTTCAAGCATGGATAGTGGAACAGATATGCTAACCGGGCAACCTTCAGCCCAACGGAGAAATGCCCTTCCTGTACGGTGGAAACATCGTAAAGGCCCACGTCGGCCGCTGGTCCGACGACTGCCCCGAGCACCAGGGCGTCATCGTCTACGCCATGGACGACAAGCCCCTCGGCTTCGGCGTCACCGCCCGCTCCACGGCCGAGGCGCGCCGTCTCGATCCCACTGGTGTTGTTTGCTTCAGACAATCTGACGCCGGCGAGTACCTGCGCGACGAAGATACCCTCTTTGCGACGAACAGTTAGATGGGTCTGTCTGGCTGTAAGAGAATTGGAGAGGAGGGGCGGGAGGGTCATGGGAGGTAATGGCTGTGGTGGTGGCGGTGCTGCTGCTCTTAACACCCTCTAGGTTTTCATGTTTGGCACATTTGGAACGGCGTTTTGGGTTCACCAAAAAAGAGAGAGCTTGAAGAACGGTCGGGGCATTTTTCACACGGCGTTTTACTGTGATTGTTGGTCATGGGCAATTTTTGATCGTTTTACTTTGAGGAGAAGAATGCGCAGTTAGATGTTGGTGTTGGCTTAGGGCTCTTCACGACGGAAATCTGCGAAGACTCGCTGTCTGAAATACTGCGAAATTTCATCTACTGCCAGATCAGGTATCTTCTCATGAGGTCCAGAGAAAATCGAGGGATCGAAGGTGTGATTGCTCCATAGTGACCTTAAGATCATTATCACCAGCAGTATCGGCTGGTCTATTGACCCTTACCAGGCAGCCGCTTGAAGTCGGATTCGAAAACATGGGTTTGAGCCATGAGTGTGTCTCTCTCACGAGAGGCATGTACATTTGGGTTTGATGGCGGAGACTGCTTTAGAGTTGGCTCGCCGCTGCGATTCTGCCTTTGCAATGTTCACCACCTCAAGCCAGTAGCCAGATGCCAAGTGAATGAACTCTCGGGGTGTTGTGTGGGACTTCAGGTCGCTGGCAGTGTTCTCAAAAGGGACGCTTTTATTTATCTTCTTTGATTGGATATCTGTGGATATGCCTGGTATATATAGAGATTGAAAACATTAAATCGTGCTGTATCCATGACGATGCTCGTCATCATCAAGACCAGATGGAATGGAAAAAGTGAGTACAAGACCCATCAAAAACGCTGCCAACAGTCTATATCTCCATGGAGGATCCCGTCTGCCAAATTTAAACTCCGTCCGTCTATAGATGCCATATCTAGAAAATGGTATGTTCATTAAATGGTCGCGTAAGGTGTGCTGGTTTAGAAGGTGAACTTCATCAAAGCCGGGTTGAGGAGTACCGGGAGGCAAAAGTGCGAAGCGATGGACATCCCCACAGGGAAGATTGTCGATAGCCAGCGAATCTGCCACTGTTGGGGGAAGACGTAGTATCCACAAACGATGAGGGCGATCCCAAGTGCTGTGAAGACAAACGTGCCCGCGAAGCTCTTGATGATCTTGGGAATTTCCTCCATGAAGTTGCAATTCTCGACTTCCTTGGAGGTGGCGCCCCACTGGATATCGATCTCGAAGAAATGGCAAAGCAAAGCCTTGGAGACATGGAGCGAGATTCCGCCGAGGAAGATGGTGAAAATGGGCATCCACTTGAAGTTGTCCCAGACTA